AGAAAAATCAGGTTTCTCTTGACTTCTCCAGTTGTAGTAATGCTCCAGCCGATTGCCACGTACAGCGGAGGAAGAAGACTGCACCTGCCTACAAATTTGCAATCCCCATACCATCTAAGGGTTCATTTACACTTATGGTTGGGTGGCTCAGAGTCATTTAGATGGGTGTCTACACATGCATAGAGGGCAAAAATTACACTTCCTGTTGCAGAGGCAGTAAACCCACTGAACCTGACCCATTTAAGTGAAAAGGGCTCCGACACAACCGCCCTGAAACCACATGTAATGCAGACAGTTGCAGCATGGTGGTGCAGCATTTACAGGGCTATAACAGCGGGTGAGGAGGCAACATATTACCTTCTCAAATCCTTTCATATGCTTCTGAAAAGGAATATACTGAGGACCACATTTCAGAGGTCTAGCAAAGTCTGCTGCACATCTAAATTTAGCCTAACAGATGATAGGAATAAGTGTCAGGTGACGGAACTTCTGTATGCATATGTGGGATTTACATCAATCATTGCTGACCAATGTGAAAGACAGAAGACAGGAAGAAGACGGCAGTCAGAGGGATGAAGTGTTGAAGGAAAGAGCAGCAATATTATCGCTGGAGGAGCTCACTTTAGGACATTAGTGTGCCATAATATGCTAGAGTTCTTCTTTAAAGGGAACCTGAACTGTGCAGTCTTCAATTGCTGACCTTCGGAGAGGAATGTTAGTTGCCTGCCTATTTCAAGCTGTAGTACTTGAAGCAAATATGCGTGTGATGCCAGAGTGAAGTCTGAAGTCTGAACTCCTCTACATGCTGGTTCCAGTTACAAAACTCAGATTACTAAACTCATTGAATAATTGTGACAGCCTGGTCAAAAACATTTAGATTGTAAGCACGAAAGAGTAGGGCCCTCTTACCCTTGTGTACTGTTTGATGTTGACTGTTCTGTTTCATTGTATTAAACAGCTCAAACCACGCTCAAATGTTTAAATTTTATTTTGAAAAGAACATGGAAGGGTTAAAGTCTCTTTCAGGTTTTCCTTTACTTCCTTTCAAAACAGGATATAATGGGAAATTTCTCAATTAAAGACACAAAAACACATTTTAGGAGAGTGGAGAGGGGTAAAACATCTACCAAAATTTGTATTGCTGTCCGTGCTTTCCTATCCTGTCACAAGCATATCCCCCATTGGTTGTATGGGAGTAACGGGCAGAGAAAGTAAAAAAATAATCTCCCCAATGAGATCATAGGCAGAAATAAAAATTTAGTCCTATCCAAAAACCTTCTCTTGTTAGTAATATAGTGAGGAGGATTTATCAAAACCAGGGCAGATAGAATCTGGAGCAGCTATGCAGAGCAACTATTCAGCTTCTATCTTCAGCTTGTTCAGTTAAGCTCAGGGGCGGACTGACCATTTGGAAACTCGGGCACTGCAGTAGGGGGCCCCATGAGATGCCCCTTGTACCTTTTTCATAGGCTTTTTTGAGTTTGGGCAAGGACAGAGAGGCTCCATGATCCCTTACTGCGCAGGGGCCCCATGAGTTGTCAGTCCGCCCCTGGTTAAGCTGGCTATGGACATATTGGAATTTGGCCTGTTCAGCAGGGATTGGATGAGATTTGTTCTGTGTGAGGCCATCCCTGTTTGACAGAAGTCAATTGTTACATCAACTTCTTTAGAATGAACAAGCTGGAAATTTTTTGTCTGCTGTCAGAATATTTTTCTGATGAGGGGGATTTCTCCATCCACTTGGTTTGTGCGATGGGGGAATCTCTTTTTGTTTCTCCATTTAGCCTGCTGGCTGAACAATAAAAAAAAAAACAATCTATGGCCAGTTTTAAACACTGAAAATGAAAGGCAGATGCTGACTGGTTGCTATGCACACCTACACATTGTATGTACCCTGTACTAAGAGATGCCCTTTTATCCTTGAAAGATAGATTAAAAACATCCACAACAAAACTGTATGCATTGGAGGGATGTGGGGCTTTTAAACCTTAAAGATCCCTTGAAATTTGTTATTGAGTTTATATAGCCTACATATTGAGCATGTCATGTAGTACTAATGAATCACAGGTTACATATTGTGTGATATGGTAAGCCTTATCATTAACTACTTGTTTATCCATTTTTATGATAACCAATAACCTCAGATATGATATCATGTGGGTACAGTCCTTGAGTTGCTGACCAATAAATTATACATTCAAAACCTTTTGAAAGTGCCCAATGGTAACCTTGGTTAAGAATTCATATGATAAAGACATTAACCAGTCAATTTCTACTGCAGTCTGTAAATGATCTATTTAATTTATCCATCCATAAATGAAATACCATTTTTGGCTAGGCTGACATTTAATATGAAAACAGTTTAATAAAGTCAATTCTGGAAATCCCATATACAAAATTAGTTCTGTTGCCATGAGCACAAGAAACAAAATGTTTTTCTTGGCAATTAATGTTATATCATTTTAAAAGGTAGACTTTTGTAATGCATGCACAGGGCCTAATACTTATATTTTCAAGTCTGATATGAAAATGTAACTTTTCTTGACACATTAAAAAGCAACAAAGGCTTATAGGCATGTAGAGTACCATAACACACTTAGATCAACTGTGTCCTTACATAATGCTTCCACAGCTATCTAAAGTGTGCTTCCTAGTAGTGGAAGCATAACCATATCCATTAAAATAGTGATCAACATCTGTGCAACCTATTAAGAGATACATGAACTGTCAAGCAGAAGGCAAAGGTGGGGGTCATACCTATGCTTAAACATTCATAAAGGTAGTGTTTCCATACTGTAGGTCCTGTCAAGGCTCAGCTAGGATGCACAGTCAGACTATAGGTATGTAATGACACCCTATACTTCCTTTTTTTCTAATAGTGCTATTCTCATATGTTTTCTACACAGCCATAGGGGTAGATAGATCTGAGGCTGGAGTAAAGGAGAAGCTTGGGGTATATAAAAAAAAACAAACATCCATACTCTCCTCTATGCTGCAGCATAGAAAACGCAGTAATGCTGCTAACTGAGCGCTCACTGGAGTGCCAGGCAGGAGAATGGATAGGAGTGACTAACTCTGACTCTCACCCTTGCACTAAAAGGTGAAGCCAGTTGTCAATGAGGCAGTTGGGTGAATCCCAACAATATGGCTGAGATCCTTCCAGAGCCTGAAGCGGCTCTGCCATGTCGGCTTATAGCGGGCTAAGCCTGCTGTCAGCCTACTCTGGGTCACAGGAGTGCAAAAGTAAGTGCACTCATGTGACCCACAAGAGAAGTATGGCCAAAAAAGCTTTGGCCATATTTCTCTTTTAACTGGACATTTCTAGTCAGGACCCAGAATGAACATAAAAATACCTGAACTCTTGCTAGGAAGATAGGAATAAAATTTAAATTTGTGGGAGTATAATATTTTTTAGGCCCTAAAATGTTGGTATTATGCTGCTACAAACATAATAGTTTATTTTAATAATAAAGATAAACCCCAGACATAAAAGCACCAAAATAAAAAAATTATGTTGTTGTTTTTTTAAATAATTAAATGTATTATGTTATGCCACCAGTATAAGTACCTCTTGATGTCAGCCTCTGTGTTCATCTCCACAGTAAAACTGAGAGAGGGCTAACTATTAAACTATGCTACAGTACACATGTGCTAACAGGGAACATGCAAACAGGAAGCAAAAATAGAGTGAGCAGAGGGATAACCTGATCAGTGTGCTGATTTGCTTCAATGTTTAATCAGCAAGCTCAGGGAGTATTTGAATCCAGTGCTTTTGACTGAGTAGTGCTGCTGTTACAGTGGGGTTCAACAATCTGTTCATGCTGTCTGGCAGGATTGCTGGATCACAAGAGTAACTATACAGAATTACAGATCATTTGTTAAGTAAAACAATCCCCCTTAAGTGTATTTTTAATGTGTATTTAGTCACTTGCCTGCGATTTAGTTTTAATCAAAAGTTCAGTGGGCTATAGTGACAATGTGTTTTGTCTGAATGCCTAACTTTAGTCGTAACATATGTTCATGGCCTTAGGTAATTGAGCAGAGATTATTGAAATACTTAGGAAGAGAAACTTGGCTTTAAACTTTGAAAACTATTATCATTGTTTTGCAGATTTTGGTGGCTGAACAATTATCAATAATTTGTCTGTAATTCTCTGACTCTTCTACTGGTAATTTTGGGCTTCAAATGGCATATATTATGTTCTGCAAGTGGTGACAATAACTGTTTATGAATAGCAGATGATGCTGTTAATGGATCTCCAGTACTGTACATTTGGCCGTGCTTGTCAAGTTAAAAATAGTGTGTGTAATGTGAGTGCCGGAGACTCCCCATGTTGGAAGCATTTAGAGGTCAGATCATCATTTTGTTAGCATGAAATCATTACACAACCAACTGTACAATACTATTTTAAAATTCATAGCTCAAAAGAAATTTTCAGACTCAAGATGTTAGGTTTTTGTTTTATAGTTCAAAGATTTTTAAGGTCAAGCTATGTGTAGAATATCTTCTATCTGTTTAGCCCAGGGTGAAGATCCAATGGCAGAATATTTTGCCAGCCATCTCTTGTCTTCTCTGTTTCTGCTGTCTGTCACGATTAGGTGTCATCCCACAACCTTCAGTGGTGGGTCTTCTGACACAACAAGCAAAAACATTGGGAATGGCAGGGGGTGGATATTATTGTCTAATCTACAATATTGCATTTGAATAACGGGGTCATACAGATTAGTTATATTTTCAAAAGAAGCTTTCTGTTACTTTCCAACAAAAAAAAAAGTATTAATGTTGGATGAAGTTTTTTTTTTAAACACAGGGGCTGTGGCCAATAGTTTGATTGCTGGCAAAAAAAAAATTATTTTTAGACCATGTCTTCTGATTAAATAAAACACGTGCAATCTTGGAATTAGAGGTATTTAAGAGACTGTTTATGGCTAATGGGTTTATTATTATTTCTTTTGCTATTTTACAGAAAGGTCTTGGCTGTGATTTCATTATTGCAGTCATGGCACCAAAAAAGAAGAATGTCAAGAAAAACAAGTCTGAGATCAATGAGATGACCATTATCGTAGAGGACAGCCCTCTTAGCAAGCTAAATGGTATCAGTGGCCTCATTGATGGGGGAAATGGTTTCAGCTATATCTCCACAGAGGTTTCCGACTCCTCATATGGCACCAACCTCATGGAAGGCCTTAGCAGAATGAGACAGGATAACTTCTTGTGTGACCTTACGATTGGTACCAAAACAAAATCTTTTACGGTCCATAAAGCTATCATGGCTTCTTGCAGTGAATACTTCTACAATATACTAAAGAAGGACCCCTCCACTCAGCGGGTTGACTTAAATGATGTGTCTCCTTTAGGTTTAGCAACAGTCATAACCTATGCCTACACTGGTAAAATCACACTCTCTTTGTACACAATAGGTAGCACCATATCTTCAGCTATCTACCTTCAAATCAGCACTCTTGTCAACATGTGCTGTGACTTTTTAATGCAAGAAATCAATGTTGAAAACTGCATGTATGTTGCTAATATTGCCGAAACCTATGGACTTAAAAGCACAAAGGATGCAGCACAAAAGTTCATTCGAGACAACTTCATTGAGTTTTCAGAAACAGATCAGTTCATGAAGTTAACGTTCGATCAGATAAATGAACTTCTTATTGATGATGATTTGCAGTTACCCTCTGAGATTGTTGCCTTCCAGATTGCAATGAAATGGTTGGATTATGATGAAAAAAGAATTAAGTATGCTCTGGCCTTTTGAGCAATATTCGATTTGGCACTATTTCAGCTCAAGATCTTGTCAACTATGTCCAGTCTGTGCCCAGAATGATGCAGGATTCTGAGTGTCACAGACTTCTTGTTGAAGCTATGAATTATCATCTGCTTCCATATCATCAGAACACCTTACAGTCCAGAAGAACAAAAATACGTGGGGGTTCAAGGGTCCTCGTAACAGTTGGGGGCCGACCTGCTTTAACAGAAAAATCTCTCAGTAGAGAGATTCTGTACAGGGATCCTGAAAGTGGATGGAAAAGACTTGCTGAACTGCCAGCTAAGAGCTTTAACCAGTGTGTGACAGTGATGGATGGCTTCCTTTATATTGCGGGAGGTGAAGACCAAAATGATGCCAGGAATCAAGCAAAGCATGCAGTTAGCAATTTTTGCAGGTATGTGTACATCCTTGGCAATACTTATGTATTGGTAATATTTTGTACACTGGCAGAGCAAGCGTATAAAAAAACTATCACATTATTTGATTATTATTAAATGTAAAAAAAAAGCATGTGTATTTAAAAAAAAAAAAACAACCTTGCTATACCCTCCTATGATGAAAGGTGTACTTTGGAGGTTTTGACCATTTTATCTGGGGAGTTGGTCACTTTTATAAACTCTTTCTTGATCCTTCAGTTACTGAAAGGTTTTGTCCATTTTATCTGGGGATGGGTAACTTTTGTAAATTCTTTCTTCATCTAGTTACTGAGTGGCACCATGATTCCTGATCTATAAACTGTATTAAATAAAAACTTGCAAGGTGCCTTTCTGTTGCATCTAGAATGTTGTGCTATGAACTGAGACTTATCAACCAGTATACAAGCTTATTGACCATGATAATTTTTCCAGTAACACTTAAAAGAGAAGTATGGATGCAGCATCGATCTGATGTTGCATCTGTCCCCCGCCGGCTCTCCAGTGAGACCTGAGTGATCGAAGACCACTGATAGCTCTGTTCTCCCCTCCGCTTTGAGCAGAGAGCCATGACTGTCAGTCTCTGGCTCTTGCTCTGCCCCTCCAGAACTCACTGGAGGGCTGAGTGGTGGATGGGGCAGGAGGGGCTGGCTCAGGCTCTCAGCAGATCAGTTAGAGGCTGAGTCAGCTGTCAGTCCAGGTGTCTGGATGGATCCTGACCACATGTTTGGGATCTTTCCTGAACCTGAACCAGCTCTTGGACGTCAGACAACAGTGGACTTTAGACGCTGTAGGCTGAAAACAGGTCACAGGAGTGCAGAATGAATTGTACTCCTTTGACCTACATGAGAAGAATAGCCAAAATAGCTTTACTTCTTCTTTAACAAGCCTGCCTCCTCACAGCTTGGTGCAATAAAGGTAGAAAGCACTTGGGGAGTCATTCTTAAACACCAGTGTTGTGGTTTGTGTGTTTTGGATCAATGCTACTCGTTATGCTCCATTTACTTGATCATTTTTTTTTTTTTTCAATAAACTCCCTTTAACTTCAGTTGAAAAAAGAAGAATTTTACTCCAAATATGTGTCAGACAGTCTGTGTACAGTTGAGCCTATGGCTCTTGCTGCTGCCTTTATCTTCTGTGAGAACAGGAAATGGAGGAGTGGTGCTGCAGATGGGACAGGATGAATGGATGGATTGTTAAGGTTCAGTTCACACTATTGCAGGCTGTGTGGCCCTTGTTTGCTTGGGCATGGCAGCTCATTTATTTCAATGGTCTGCTGTGACCACATTTCCTGCACAAAAAAGGTGCATGAACCAGACGTGGCTATAGCAAAACCGCATGATCTTCTTGACCAATGCGGTTTCCCTGCAGTTCCTGATTCGGCTGCGGGTGCAGGAACAGATACGATACCCACACCAGCAACCAGCCTGCATAGTGTGAACCAGGGTTTAAAAGGAGCCAGGTAAGTGTTTAGGGAAGGGGGGGGGGTGCAGAAAATGCATTAAGATAAAAAACAGCTAGAATTTAGAACCACTTTACCTAACATGTCCTTAACATTTTCTGTGGTTACTAATTATTACATTTGCCTTATATGAGCTGTTCTGGAACTTTTATGGCTTCAAAAAGTACGTCAGACTTTCATGTATACTAAGAAACCTATATTTTCAGTGCTGCTTATTTGTAATTGCTCCAAAGAAAGCTGTCTCTTGTTGCATTATAAATCCTTTTAGATCCCAGTTGATTATCCTCAGCTTTTTGTCAAGAAGAGTTGATTGCAAAGGTTAAGATTATGACTGGAAGTGCCTGACTGCAGTTCCCTAAGCCCAGGTTCACATACTGTATATGCGGTGTGGTACATCGCATGTGATTCGCACAGGAACCGCACCGCATTCCTGTGCAAATCACATGCGATTTGTGTGCCGTGCAACTGTAGCTATACATTTTGTATGGCTCTAATTGCACCGCACCCACACCAAAAAGGTGCAGGACCCTTTTTTTGGTCTGCACTAGAATCACATCGCATGGGTATTCACACCTATGCTATTCGATTCTGCACATTGAACCTCGTTTTGTGTAACAATTTCGGGGTGTTGTTAACTTAACATAAACACCCGCAGCAGTTCGCATGAAAGGGGGGCGATTCTGATGCGGTGCAGAATTCATACAGAAAACGCTGCGAAATCTAAACCGCATCAGTGTGAACCCGGGCTATATTTTTGGATATATAATATAATATTTTTCCTTTTACAAATTCTGCATTATCCACTTCAAATGAACAAATGTTGTCAGCCTCCTATTAACTGATTGTCTTCTGCTCCTGCACCCTTTTGACACTAAACACTGAAATGCACTGTTAGAAATATTGTAACTGCTGATTAAAGTATTCTTTTTTTTAACTTGGTTTTATTGGGAAATATTGAGTACAAAGAAAAGGACATTCACAGGTCATGAATTCTAACAAGAAAATAGCAATGTGAACAGAGATGGCACCAGCTTTCACAAAATTCTGAGAGTACAAGAAGCATACATTAAATAACACGCTGTACTCAAGTGAATGTATGCATGAATTATACCAGCATATCATAAGAAAGAACCAGACTGTAGGAAACAAGAGCAAACGGCTCATCAAAACGTGTAACAATATCTTCACCCAAAAACGGAATAAAATTGTATCAAGAAAAGGAATAACAGATATCTGACTGTCTGTGTTTCTCCTAGCATCAACAGCATCTCACACTCGGCTATAGGTATCATCAGTATACAGGACACACTGGAAGTACAGTGTAGGGGTAGTCTACGGAGGAGGATCAGAGATTAAGGAGAGGAGGGAGTTACTAATGTCCAAATTTTATAGAACTTCCCAGGGCAGACTGTAGCCTCATACAGTTGTGGCCAAAATTATTCAACCCCCACTGAAATTGAGTGTTTTGGCCAGTTTGACATTGCTTTTGATCATTCAGTCATCTTGCTTACATTTACATTAAAGAGGCACTTGTAGGTCAGACAAATATAACATAACAGTTATAATGAAATAACCACAAATGTCTTTTCTGTGCTCACAGCATTATCAGTTTTATTCAACCCCCAAGTGACATTCAATCTTAGTACTTAGTACAGCATCCTTTTACAGTTATAACAGCTTTTAAACGTGAAGCATAGCTTGACACAAGTGTCTTGCAGCGATCTACGGGTATCTTCGCCCATTCTTCATGGGCAAAGGCCTCCAGTTCAGTCACATTCTTAGGCTTGCGCACTGCAACTGCTTTCTTTAAGTCCCACCAGAGGTTCTCAATCGGATTTAAGTCTGGTGACTGCGATGGCCACTCCAAAATGTTCCAGCCTTTCCTCTGCAACCATGCTCTAGTGGACTTGGAGGTATGCTTGGGATCATTGTCCTGTTGAAAGGTCCAACGTCTCCCAAGCCTCAGGTGTGTGACGGACTGCATCACGTTTCCATCCAATATCTCCTGGTACTGAAGAGAATTCATGGTACCTTGCACACGCTGAAGCTTCCCTGTACCTGCAGAAGCAAAACAGCCCCAAAGCATGATTGACCCTCCACCATGCTTCACAGTAGGCAAGGTGTTCTTTTCATCATAGGCCTTGTTCTTCCTCCTCCAAACATAGCGTTGATCCATGGGCCCAAACAGTTCTAATTTTGTTTCATCAGTCCACAGAACACTATCCCACAACTTTTGTGGTTTGTCCACATGGCTTTTGGCATACTGCAGTCGACTCTTCTTATTCTTTGGAGACAGCAAGGGGGTACGCCTGGGAGTTCTGGCACGGAGGCCTTCATTACGCAGTGTGCGTCTTATTGTCTGGGCTGAAACTTCTGTACCCACATCTGACAAATCTTTTCTCAGTTCCTCAGCAGTCACACGGGGACTTCTCTCCACTCTACGCTTCAGGTAGCGCACAGCAGTCGAAGTCAGCATCTTCTTTCTGCCACGACCAGGTAGCGTTTCAACAGTGCCCTTTGCCTTGAATTTGCGAATGATGCTTCCTAAGGTGTCTCTTGGTATGTTTAACATCTTTGCAATCTTCTTATAGCCATTGCCCTTCCTGTGAAGAGAAATCACCTCTTCTCTTGTCTTCCTGGACCATTCTCTTGCCTTCACCATGTTTGTAACCACACCAGTAAATGTCTAGAAGGAGCTGAGTATCACAGTCATTTTAAAGCTGCCTAATTGGTGCTTATTATGCTTGATTGCTGCTCGGTGACATCCACAGGTGTTTCAATACCTGATGGAAAGCACCTGTATGAACCTCTGTTCTTCAGAGTGGTAGTCTTTAAGGGGTTGAATAATTGTGGCAATGAAGAAACCACATAAGAACCATTTACTACTGTATTACATAAACAATTGATGTCATTTTAGTTGCATTTGGGTAGTTACAACGTCCTTGTAGGATTTGATTCTGAATACAATTCCAAATGTACACTATAGTCCCTAAACCCCTTTACAGCATTGGGGGTTGAATAATTTTGGCCACAACTGTATGTTAATTCGAACAGAGGCAAGTCTGATTAACCAGCATTTTCCACATGCCAATATGTGAAGGCTTAGAGTGAATCCACTGCAAGGCTATAGTTTTCCTAGTGTAATATAGTTAGGATCTAAGTAATTGTTTAGTCTTAGCAGAACTATCTAAGTCTTCAAAAATGCCCAGCAGACCCCATTTAGGGCTACACAAGTTGGGGAAATCAAAACTATTAGCAAGAAATGCAGTAACTGCTGACCAAAATGGTCTAACCTTATTTCAAACCATGTGCAGGAAGTCCCCAGTCACTTTGTTACATTTATGGCATACAGGCAGGGGCGGACTGACCATTTGGAAATGCGGGCACTGCCCGAGGGCCCGGGGTCACTACTGGGCCCCATGAGATGCCTCTGGTACCTTTTTCATAGGCTTTTTTGAGTTTGGGCAAGGACACAGGGGCCCCATAGTCCCCTATTGCCCGTGGGCCCCATGAGTTGTCAGTCCGCCCCTGCATACAGGGGTGTCACATTTGTGCATATGAAATAATTGCAGTGGCATATAGTATGTTCTATGTAAATACCACAATTAGATAAGTTTTTCCCTAACAGATATAACTGTGCCAGGGTATGAGTTAAACAGCTCCTGCCAGTTCCCAGAAGAGAGGTCAGGAATATCCGTCAATCACCTCGACTGTACTTTAAGGAGCCACAGTGATGGTCTATCTATGAGAAGCATGTAGAATGTGGAAATAAGCCGCATATTGTTTGGTTAGAGAAGTGCCCATTCTACTTTGGAGTTACAGAGGCGTATTCCAAAGCCTTAACTGTGTCTTTGCCGTGTGTTTAAGCTAGGTACCGGAAATGCCCCCAAGTTAGAATTCCCAGCTTCTGTTGCAACTGCTAGAAGGGCTTAAAGGTTACCCCCTGGTACAGTTGGTGTAAATACACAAGGGCCCCATCTTGCCCACAGCAGACCACCAGGCAGATCAAGATAGTTAGGTAAACTGGGATTACACCAAAGGGGCTGGTTGGGACAGGAGATATGATTTACTTCAGCCATCAAGGTCAGTCATTGAGTACGGATTCGCAGAGAAGTTTTAAAGTCATGGTATCACTGGTACTATTGAGGGGATCTTCTATTTATGAGATTGGCTAGAGTTTCATACTAAGAGACTATAGCAGCTTCCACTGCAGTAGCTGCATTGTTAAGTTGTGGGAACAACCACCAATGTACATAGACCAACTGGGCTGTGCAATAATAGAATCGGAGGTTGGGGAGTGCTAAACCTTCTTTGGAGATAGGGAGCTGTAAAGTCTCCAAGGAGATTCTGGGCACCTTAGGATACCAAAGAAAAGTGGAAAGGATCAAATCAATTTTTTTAAATATTTGCTTTGAAATGTAAAGTGGAGTGTTAGCGAGGATATGTAGAAATTTGGGTAATAAAAAAATATTTTAAATAAATGTACATGGCCCTTCAGGCTAAGAGGAAGTATGGCCCATTGTAATGCGCAGAAAAAGGAGATACATGGTAACAAATTATTATGAAAAAATTTAGATAGTGGTAACTGGACCTCTATACACAGATACTTGAACTTAGAAGGAATCTGCAACAGGCAAGACGGTGCTAAATGGAGGGGTAGGTCTGCATCTGTGGGGAATATAAAGGACTTTGGCCAATTGACTGTGAACCCTGAATACTGGACAAAATGCTGGACCAAGTCCAATACCACGCGAATAATATACTGTGAGTCAGAGAGATAAACAGAATATCATCCGCATATAAGGACACTCTGATTACAGTATTCTTGATGAAAGCACAAGCAGAGGCTAATTCAAAACAATTATTTTAAAAAGACACTTGACACCTAAGACTAACTTCATGTGATAATGTTCATGTTAGTTCACTATAGAAAATGGTGAAAAATAAGTGCCATCTGGGACTTCCTTCCATTGCATAATGTATGACAGTTCATCATACTTTGATTGCAGATTGACACATTGGTACAATATTTGCCATGCAAATGAATAGCTCATGTGCAATATTTCTTACAGACCAGTGGCAGATACACATTTAGGTATCTGCACACCTTGCTGCTTCTGATTCATCACAGGGTGTTCAGTACCTATTTGTGTAAAAAAACAGATATGCTTTCCATAACCATAAAACCAAGCAGTGGATTATATTTTTGTGGCAAAACCTTTAATGAGCATCAATGATAACTTTTTCTTTATCTTGTTTTCCTCTTATTATTAATTGTAATATCAGGCTAAATTTCAAATGTTCTTAACCCTTAATTATTTCCTTTTTTACCATTACAGATATGACCCACGTTTTAACACCTGGATTCATCTTGCCAACATGAATCAGAAACGCACCCACTTTAGCTTAAATGTTTTCAATGGCCTGCTTTATGCAATAGGTGGCCGCAATTCTGAAGGGTGCCTTGCATCAGTTGAGTGTTATGTGCCTTCAACTAACCAGTGGCAACTGAAGTCCCCACTGGAGGTTGCCAGATGCTGCCATTCCAGTTCAGTCATTGATGGTAAAATCTTGGTTGTTGGTGGATACATAAATAATGCATACTCCCGCTCTGTGTGCATGTATGACCCATCTACTGACAGCTGGCAAGATAAAGCAAGCCTCAGTACACCCAGAGGTTGGCAATGCTCTGTTACACTTGTTGACAGAGTGTATGTGATGGGTGGCAGTCAACTTGGTGGTCGTGGTGAAAGGGTTGATGTCCTCCCTGTTGAATGCTTTAACCCTCACACTGGCCAGTGGAGCTACGTTGCTCCTCTTCAGAATGGAGTGAGCACAGCAGGTGCTTCAACACTCAATGGCAAAATCTACCTGGCTGGTGGCTGGAATGAAGTAGAAAAGAAATACAAGAAGTGCATCCAGTGCTACAACCCTGATCTTAATGAATGGACTGAGGAAGATGAATTGCCTGAAGCAACTGTAGGGGTGTCCTGTTGTACTATTAACATGCCCAATTTTAAAACACGGGAATCTAGGGCAAGTTCAGTTTCATCAGTACCAGTTAGTATATAAAAGTATACTGTTGGGAAGAAAACACTACTACTTTAGCATATATACTTTTCAGACACAAGGCCAAAACGACAAAAAAATATAAATAAAACTGCTGTAATTACATTATTTTACACATTGTCTTAGCTAAATCATTTTTGTTACTTAAGAGGAGGACATAGTCAAGGAGAACATACTTTAACATTTTGTTTAATATAGTAAAGGTCAAAGAAACTGTTCAATGGAACATCCCTATATTTAGCTACTACATCTTAAAATATTGCTTTGGAAATTGTAGGATTGTATAAAGCAGTAGCTTTCCCATAAGGCATGTATCATGGAATCACTGACGCCAAACCTATAATTCTTAATAATGAAAACTACCAGAAAAAGCAATATTTAAAAGAGATTATGGAGGACCCCTCTGGTGTGAAAATGTGACTGTTTACTTGTACATTAGCAGCATTAGTTATAGTTTAGACATGTATGCTGTGAGTGGATGATTTATCTTGTTAATATTATTACATGTTAGAAAAGATTTGTTGTAATTGGCTTGTGACTGCCCAGTAAACAAAAGAAGTGAACACTTTATGAGCATATAATTTGTTATATGTATAATATGCTTTGAAGGATTATTTTAGATAAACAGTTCCAGCATAATAATAGGTGCAGAGTGTAAATATATAACCCCTATCCAGCATTACTTTTAGATAAAATGTTCCAGCACAGTAATATGTACTGGTTGAAAGTAAAAAGCTCCTACCCTTTTTAAAATACAACTATTAAAAGTCATAGTCAGTAAGTCCATTTTTCCATCTCAGCAACCCAGTGTATTTTAATACCCAAAGCATTAAGCAGCCTATGTACTGATTTGATCACTTCTGAGGCTGTTAAAATTTGCTCATGTAATCCTCAATCAGCAACATCCAGTTATACAGCTGAACGTACCAACTCAACAACAGGCAATAAATAGAAAACACCCCAGGCCATATAGTAATTGCTGAGAAAAGGTTGAGTATGTTTTATAGTTGGTGGTAATGATTATAATGATTTCTATATAAATACATTTATTATAGGTTTTATGGCTCGTCACTTTCCATGTCAATGAAGTAACCAATAATTTGCAAAGCAATATAATCTTGGTGTTTTCCAGAAAAAAGCAACATAAAATAAATACTCATAATAAACACAATCATAAACAATAGTATTTTATAGTCAATAATTGATTATAATAACATTTAAGGGAAGCTTGGACTGAGAGAATATGGAGTCTGCCATTACTGGCCTTTCTGAATGTTAGTTAGCTATAATGCTAATCCAATAGCTTTAATACTTTAAGAGCTGGAACAAGTGTGCAATTCAGAAGTCCAGACTTTCTAATCTGCATACTTGCTCTGGGTCAATGACTTAATAAGTATTAAAGCCATTTTGTTCAGTACAGGTTTCCTTTAAGGGATGACCAGACCATCCAGGCTATGTTCAAGAAGCTAGCCAGGTTAAAGAGAAACAAAAATAGAAACTTGAATCTAGGTGTGTTGGTCAGGCAAAAATTTATATTTTTTTGATTATTAGAATATCCAGAACAAGCATCGTTAAAAAATATGCTATTTGCACAATGGTAATAGAATTTAGTAATATTCCAAGTAAAAACATTTAAATGTCATTTTAAGTGGAACCAAAGGCAAGGTCCACTTATTAAATAGTGTCCACTTCCCCATAGAGAATAGCCATATTAGACACCAGAAAGAAATATCTATGGAGAAAAAAATATGCTTAATTTATACCCAGCTTTGGCGCATTGTGCTTAGAAGAAGGCTACCTTACAATTCTTCCTGGGAACACAGCATCATGAGTAGACCCTCGTTGGAAGAATCATAACCACCCTTCAAAAGCTAGAAGGATTGATTAAGTGTATTTTTGCAATGTTTCTCCACAAGTAATTTTGATCTAAAGGTATCATTTGGCCATTCTACATGGTACGATGAGGTGCACTATGTAATATTTGGAACCTTCATTTGGTGCGAGGTCCAGTCTTGAAAAATTGTACCAGTATTCTCAGCCATAAATGTGTTATTTCATGTATTAAACCAAATGTAGTTGAACAGAGACATCTAGTTGTTATTAGTTTTTTTTTTTTAATAAATCTGAGGGAAGGTACAGTATCATTTAAGTATTATATTGCTACAAAATACATCATCAGAAAAGAACACTAGGCTGTGAACAAATAAGCTGTGCTTTAGTTTCCAAGTAGATAAATCTGAACTTTATATTTCCACATTGTATAATTTGGCCTTGACTGATGTGGCTTTTTGCGTTAGGTAGCTGTTATTTTGACACATGGCACATAGTAAATTATCCCACAACAATGTGAATAATATTGTGATGCTATAATGATAGTGTCAACAATGAAAAGCCCTAAATCCACACATACATATTCAGTAGAAATGGTTATGATGCTATGACCTGTCAGAGTTTTCTTTAATTCCCTAATCTTATAGGTGATATGCGGTAAGAAGGTTGGAATGGACTGACTGTTAAAAAAGTGAATCTATTTTACTAGGACATTTTAGCAATGTTGATTTGTAAGGATTTTAGGAGTTTGACATGTGGTAAAAAAACATTCAGGTACAGGTTCTAGTGTGGTACCTGCAATGAGCAGCTAGGGCTGCCCAAGTACCCAAGCAATGCAGCAGTCAAATTAATTTCCTGTAGTGCAGCCTGGAAGTTCGAAATGGAAAACTATAGTTCCATAAACCACACATGTGGGCAGCAAGATGGGCTATTGCATTATTCGGTTGTTGGTGATTGTCAAGTGAGTTATATACAGTAATTATTAAAGTTATTTGAATCAAAATGGGATTTAAAGAAACTTTTATTAGTCATAAAGTTCAGATCCTTAGGCCACTTTCACGCTGCTATCTCTTTTTTATAGAAGGAAAATGGCATAACATTGGCTCGTTTTATTTATAGCAGTGGTTTCCTGGCATAAATTGGCATATCTCACTACCAGTTGCTTTACTATGTCACTTTCATTTATGGCATACTTATTTCAGGGCAGAGCTTTGCAGTCTACATTTACCACCTTCCTACACTACACACTGTGGTAACTTTATGTTCCAACTTTACACACTAACTCACCCAATCTCTTTACAGTCTCCTGTTCTGTCCCTCTGATCCCCATGGCATACACACTCACCCTTTAAGAAATGTAGTCTAAAATTAAGAAGCTGCTCTCAAAGTAGTCACTGATTCCTCCAGTAGTATACACACCTACATTTTAAAATGCTGTATTGCCTCCAGTTCTGCTAATTGTCACTTGAGTGAGCAAGCTATCACACAAACAATGTTCCCATACTTACTCCCATACATACTGATGGTTCAACAGGCAAAATGATGGATCACATGTACTTGAATTGTGAGCCAAATGAATACTTTTCTCTTGGATATCCTTTTCTGGGGGAGAATTCATAGTGAGAACAGTATCATATTATCTCCTAAGCTAATCTTTAGAAAATCAACCTCCAAGTGTGATCTTATGATTCTGAACTTGTGGCTAATAAAATATATTTCAAAATTCAAACTGTGAAAATACCGTATTAGAATTTTAGACACAGTAGATTGACGCTGAAGCCAAACAGGATTTGGGGCTAACCACTGTAAATGTTATTGTGTCGGAAGAGCATTTCTATGTTTCTCCAGAAAATAGTTTGGAATCAATACATAACCAGAGCTTATTTAATAGTTTTGACAATAAGGGAACACAAGCCTTTATATTCTTGAATAATTTAACTTTTTTTCTTCTTTTTTTTTTAACAAAAGGTATTATTTGTAACTTGGCTCTATGCATCATCCAGTATTAATTATAATATGTAGAGTCAAGCTTCACAATTATGAAAATAATTGAACACGACTATATTAAAAAAGGAAGATTGCTGCAACACAACATTTTTCATTAAAACACATTAATATATTTTTTGGGGGGTACCATTAAAGCCTTGAAAACCCTTGTAAGGGTTTGGTAGTCAGATACTATTACTGTACCAATGAAGAATTTTGTGTGGTAACAATATTCTATTGCCAAGATGGACCTGTGCTACAAAGAGAAATGGTCAGCTGTAATCTACAGGAACCAAATATCATGTTTTAATTTTTCAGTCCGAAAGCTGAATTATAAATGGTCACTGTGGGTTAGAGTATTGCTTAAAAATTAATGTCACTAATGAGGATTATTGATAATTAATCATTTTGTGTAATTGTAATAATTGTAACACTGGTAAGTTTAAAGATGAAAAGTCCATACAAAATTTTACTGCTATAAAATGATTACTGTGACACTCAACAGGTACATATTAAGCAACCATAAATGTTACATATTATGCAAATAAAAATTTTCAGAAAACATTCTGTGTGTGGTTTTTTTTTTCTGTGGTATACAATTCTAGACACAATCTACAGACATGAAACTCATTACAAAACTAATTCATGGATGATCACCCTGTCCAAAAAACAGCAAACAATGAGTGTAGCTTGCAAAATGTTCCACTTTCTACAATAATTCTTTCTGCTGCATTTTAAGAGTACAGCTTGGATTGAAACCAACACTAACATACATATCTTGTCAAAGATAGCTGGTGCCCTAGGGCTGTATCATCCCAACAACTGATGTTTCTTGTGGGACCTCCATGCACCATACCTGACTCACCAATATGTTATGTGAACAGTTTCTAGTATTTTGGTACAAACAAAATGCTGGTCAAACACACACCATTTTGCTGGCTATTGCAGCCATGCTAAACTTTCTTTTGATTGGAAAAATAAAGTAATGGATCAAGGCTGCCAGCCATCATCAATATGATGATTTATAAAATGTATATATTTAAATGTACATGGTAGTGTTGGTTGCAAGTTCCTTTTAGCTGATCAGTCAGATAGAAAGCGAATAGAAAGCAGAGAGAGATGAAGATATATAGCAGAGTTCAGGAAGTTCACTCCCAGTGACCTTGTGAAGAGTTTTGTATGTGCTG